TGTTTTGGTTCCTCCCAATTGAGAAAATTAAGATGAACCACTGTTTGTTTGTTGTTCTGTCACGGAAACTATAGCTGCCAATGTCTTGGGACCATCTGACTGTTGAAGGGCTTGGTATCTTGATGGGTGCTTTGGCTTGAGATCAGTAACCTTCCTCTTGATCTGTGGATCCTTCCCCTCTTGAAAGAGCAGGGTCCCCCTTCCTCAAAATCTAGCCCTTTCTCTGAATCCCACTCAAAGAACGGCCCAGCCTTTCCTGTGGTTCTCAGAGGAGTGTAGGAAAGGAGAGATCCATTTTTTACTAGTTCCGCTACTGCTTATCCATTAAAGTAAGATAAAAATACCTGTTCCCTGCCCAGTTCCCAGAACACCAATTCAAATGAATGAGGATGTAAAAGCTCATGGTAAGAAAATCTCTCCCCAGGTAGTTCCAGATGAAAGAACAGCTCTTTAGCACTTCCAGTGAGTTAGACAATGAGGCTGCTCCTTAGAGCTGGCTGGAGTAATATCTGCATTTTTTTCCCCTTTTAAATAAAAGGGAGGCATCACTGCTCAGTAAGGTTGAGTGACTTTCCTGAAGACACACAGTAAATCACTCCTGAAGATTTGATTCGTTATCTAATCATGAATAAGTTTTAGGAATATTTGGTTTGCATTATTAACCTTGGGAGGCTAAGACAGAGCAAAAGCACACTTGAAAATAGCATATCTGGGGCTGGAGAATTGGCGCAGTGGGTATGGCACTTGCCATGTTAAGTGCAAGGACCTGAGTTCAAATCCCCAGAATTCAAGTAAAGTAAGTTGTGGTAGCTTGGGAGTCTGCAACCCTGGTGCTCCCACGGGCAGATGGGCTGGGGTAGGAGGGAGAAAATACCTGGCTACTCATTCAGAAAAAAAAAAAAAAGGACCCCATTTCAAGTGAAGCAGAAGGTGAGGACCGACACCCGAGGCTGTCCTCTGGCTCCTATTGGAGGAGGAAGAGGAGATGAACCTACAGGTCCATAAGGGGATATATATATATATATATATATATATATATTGTTCCATTTTGGTGGTTCTGTGGGTCTCTTTGTCTTTCCTGTTTTTCTCTCTCCAATTTTCTCCCTGCTGGAGGCTTCCTTTTCTTCCTTCCTACTTCATAGCGGTTCAGTCAGCCGCAGGTTATCCCCAGGGTACGTTGCCTTTTCTGTTTGGTTTTCTGCCAGTCTTTTCCTGATGGCCGAGGGCTCTCCCTGGCTCCTGCTTCCTTAGCTGACCAGTGCAGAAGTTGATAGCTTATCTGTCCACAACAGTGAGAAAGTGAGATAGTGGGCTCGGAAGCCTGCAACCCCAAAGCATCTTGGGAAATAATCTATCAAAAAGAAGAGTCTTCTCCCGGTTTCACCCCAAGGAAAGGGTCACCCACCCACGGACACTTCTTGCCTCTCTCTACTCTATTTGATCCTACAGTGGATTAGACCGTGTGCTCCTGTCTTTCCTGTATTCAGTGCTGAGCTGGTTCAAGTCTTGATTTCAGCTTTGAAATGCTGTGCCGAATCAGAAAAGCCACTTGGTCTCTGGGCTTCTCTTCCTTAGCCAGGCAGGATCCAACCAGAGCGGACCTTTTATGTACTTGACCCCAAGTTCAGAGTACTAGCAGATCCCGTCTGAAGAGTGGGAATTAATTGCTCTTTCCAGTAACTTCTCATGAGGCATGACCTCATACTCCACTACTTCCTCTTTTTCACCCCAGTGATCTGGCAGGAAGAGTTTCTTCAAGGCAGGAATTTACTCATATGGAACCATCCTTGTTTCCATTCAGAGAGACCCGAGGGGTGCAAACATGTTACTCATCAACTCCCAACCTGATAAATATTTACCCTCGCTGCTAGCGAAACCTCTTCCATTCCCACAAGGCAATAAAAAGCGATCTGATTCTCAAGCCTCAGCCAGTGAGTCTCAGCTTCCTTTACCTTCTACCCACTCAGGATACCTTGCATATCTGGTGCTGTCTGGAGGCATTTTAATGATCACAATCAAGATGCCATAGGGAACTAGTGTTTTGAGGCCAGGAATGTTGCTAAAATCTCCTCTAAACATCATAGGATGCACTGAGTGGCCTTGGTATCAAAGGCTTATCTAGCAGAGAACATCAAAACAATGTCATATCTGAGAAACTGTCATCTAAGAGTTGTCATCAAGCAAGGTCCTTGACAAGATTTTGAGGGCTCATAGAATATGACAGCACATGGTCTTGCCCTTGCCTTGCAAATTCCCAAATATTAGGGAAAGGCAGCCTCTTGTTAGGAGAGATCTTGCCAAATAGAAGAGATAGCCCTTGACCCATGCTGAGGATTTTAGGGTATAACGAGAATTTTACAGCCATGACACATTAGGTGGGCATTGAGATACCTGCCCATAATCTCAGCATCTGGAAGTAGAGGCAGGAGGATCAAGAGTTCAAGGCCATCCTTTGCTATGAGGTGAGCTTGAGACCAATCTGGACTACATGAAGTCCTATCTGAAAATAAATAGCCAGGCTTGGTAGAACACACCTGTAATATCAGGGCTCAGGAGGCAGAGGCAAGTGGATCTCTGAGTTTGAGTCTATCCTGGTCTACAAAGCAAGATCCACGACAGCCAGGATTACACAGAGAAACCCTGACTTAAAAATAAACCAAAAAATAGGTAAGTGACCAAACATATACAAATTAGATTAAACCAATGTTTAGACTTTCAATGAGCTTTTTAAGTTAATTTAAAAATTTACGTGTATGGATGTTTTGTCTGCATGTGTGATTGTGCACACTTGTGTGTAGTCTCCACAGAGGCCAGAAGAGAGCGTTGAATCACCTGGAACAGGAATTACAGATGGTTGAAAGCCATGGTGTGGGTGCTCAGAATGGAGCCATGGTCCTTTGGAAGGGCAGTGCTCTTTACTGAGCGGTTGAAATTCTGTTTTTTTTGTTTTGTTTTTTTTTTTTTTGTTTTTTGTTTTTTCGAGACAGGGTTTCTCTGTGGCTTTAGAGGCTGTCCTGGAACTAGCTCTTGTAGACCAGGCTGGTCTCGAACTCACAGAGATCTGCCTGCCTCTGCCTCCGAGTGCTGGGATTAAAGGCGTGCGCCACCAACGCCCGGCTGAAATTCTGATACACACTGTTGCAACATGGATAAACCTTGAGGACACTCTGTTAAATGAAGTAAACTATTTATGAAAAGGGAAGTACTGTGTGGATGCACTAAAATGAGTAGTACCATTTTGTCTTTGAGACCAAAAAAAAAAAAAAATACAATACGGGTTTCCAGGAGGCAGCAAGAAATGAGTTATGGGAGGTGTTGTTTAATAAATGCTTAGTTGCAAATATCATTAATGCATTAATATCGATGAACCAGCCATTCTTAAAAGTGCTTTAGGGGATGGGAGAGTAGGCTCTGGGGTCAAGGCACCTGTTGCCAAACCAGACAACCTGAGTTAGAGCCCAGGACTCATACAGTGGAGAAAGAACCAACTCCTGTAAGTGTCCTCTCATGCCCACACGTGTGCCATGGCATGAACGTCCTCTCTATAACAAATAAATAGATGTAGTAAATGCTTAAATGAGCTGGGTGGTGGTGGCGCACACCTTTAATCCTAATACCGAGAAGGCAAAGGCAGGTGGACCTCTGTGAGTTCTGGGCCAGCCTAGTCTACAGTCTACAGCCAGTGAGATCTAGGACAGCTAGGGCTACACAGAGAAACCCTGTCTCAAACACCCCCTCCCCCCCCAAAAAAACCAAACCAAGCCAAAACAGTTTAAGTGGTTAAGATGGTGAGTTTTATGTTGTTTAGATTGTACCGCAACTAGAACTTACTTTATGTGTGTATGTGTGCTCCTGAGTGTATGTATGTATACCATGTTTGTGCATGTAGGCCAGAAGAGGACATCAGATTCCCTGGAACTGGAGTTATAAGTGGTTATGAGTTACCACTTAAGTCCTGGGAACTGAACTCAGGTCCTATGCAAGAGCAACACATGCTCTTAACTGCTGAGCCATTGCTTCAGTCCCACTAAGCCAAACTTTAACTCTTTACTAAGGCTGAAGTGGATGAAGTCTCAGCTGGCTCCCAAAGCCTCTGCCCTAGAAGTCCTCCAGGATGTCTTTGTACTCACCCGCCCCTCGTCCTGCCCATTCATGCCTCTCTGCAGCATCTCACTGGAGATTCCGTGGATTTTGATGTCAGGAAGATCTCTGGAGAACTTGCCAGCCAGGCAAAGTTTGCTGCTCAGGGCCTGGACTTTTCCGTAGTTGGCCCAGGAGCAAGTCAGGAGGTTAGAGTCCTACTTTCTGCTCTAAGCTCGGCGAAAGACACCCCGCTCCGCCACCCTCTGGGCTGTGGTTCCCTCATCTGCAACGTGGCAGGGTTGTTCTACATGGCTTCTGAGACTTCCTCTCCAGTCCCGAACCTGCAGAAGTTTTGAACCCTTTGGCCCCTCGGGTCCTCTGCCGCCTGTGGTCCTCCAGCTTTCCCGAATCTTTTAGTAAAACTCCCGTGGACAGGTTCTGACTCATCCACTCGCCTCAGGCCTTCATTGGCTTTTCCACTTGGGCCCACATGGAAGGTAACCGAGTGTTTAATTTAGGAATGTGTTTTGTTTTAGTGAGCAAAGAAAGGGGCTCGTTGAAGAGGGGTACAGCAGAGGTTGGGGTGAGAGGCCATCAGCCCCAGTCTCTGATGCAGGTTTTTCTATGTCTCTCCATGTGTGGCTCAGGCATGAAGGCCCCACACAGGCAGCCTCCTCTTTCCTCAAGGACTCTCTTGCATAAGTTGGTCAGTAGGAATGCTGGCAGCCAGGCAGGCCTGAGAGAAGCAAGTTCCAGCTTGTATACCGATGAGGTCATTAGGATGCCTGCTCTGAGCTGGAGTCTGGCTCACAGTCAGCTGTTTGTGGTTTTATTTTTTTTTCCCCATCTGAAGAAAGTCTGAGCAGAGGATCACCCCTTCAGTGTCACGTGTTTCCATGTGAGGGAGAGGCCTCGGGATGAGGGAACCGGTCAGGATTTGGCAGGGCGATGCATTTCTCAGAACACTTCCTTCTCCCTGCTTTTTCTGTCTTCACTAATATTTATTCTTGGGTTTCTATTTTGTTTTAGAGAGTTTGCAAAACTGCTGTTTTGGGACCGAAGGGAATATTCTGCTGTGAAAGAACGTTTTATGGACTTCATACAACTGGGACCTTCAACACCGTCACCACCCTTGAAGCAACTGGGGGGCGGGGTGCAGCCGAGTGGGGCTGGTGCACAGCTGTGGCGGACTCCTGGCATTCTCCACTCCTGGCCAGGCAGCTCTGGAATCTGGAACAGGACAGGACATGGTGGGGTAAGGGCCACTTCCAAAACATGAAGAGAGGCCACATGACAATATAGGCATTCCTGCCTGGGGAACTTAGGGATCCTTGGCAGCAGGCTGAGCATTGTATTGGAGGCACCAAGAGCTGGGCGTTACAAACTGTTTCATTTTCAGAGGTTTATGTGTCTAAGGGGAGAAAATAGGCACTCCTCCATGCCAGGGAGCTAGTCCAGTGCAACGAAAAGTAAGTGCACAGAGGGAAGAGCCAGGATGCTTCAGACACACAGGAGGAGAAAAGAAGTAAAAGGAACTATGTACACGGTGGTTTTGATAGGGGAAGATAAGAATTCTAGATTATCAAAGTTGAGGGGACATTGAGATCTGGCCCAGCCTTAACTCCCAGATGGAGAAATTATGAGCTTTGACTTAATAGAGTCTGCATCAAAGATGAAATTAGTCTTCTTAATTTTGATTTTATATGTGTGAGTGTTTTGCCTGCATGTGTACATCCCATGCATGCCCGGGGCCTGCAGAGGCAACACGTCTTTGGATCCCCTGGAACTGGAGTTAGGGTTGCTTGTTAGCCACAATGTGTGTGCTGGAAACCAAACCAGGGTCTTCTGCAATAGCAACACATGCTCTTAACCACTGAACCATCTATTCTAGATTTGTTTTGTTTTTACTTATGTATATGTGTGTCTGTGAGTGTATGGATCATCCATGGAGGCCAGAAGAGAATGTTGGATCCTCCGGAGCTGGTGTTAAAGGCAGCTGTGAGCCGCTCAAAGTGGGTGCCGGGAACCAAACTGTGGTCCTCTGAAAGAGCAGCAAGAGCTCTTACATATAAGCCATCTTTCCCGTCCCATATATCTTTCTGACCTTTGCCTGGGGGCTCTATATTTGACCTCTGTGTCCATTTGCATAACATTCTAGAACTCCAAGATTCCCTGACTCTATGACCTCCCAACCAGCCCACTTCAGCTCTCCTTTTAAATCAGGGCTGCCGGCCGTCCCTTCCACTCCACCGTTCACCACTGCCTTGTTTTCCTTTTCCTTTTCCTTTTCCTCCCCTCTCTTGTCATTTTCTCCTTTCTGTCCCCTTCCTTTTCTTCTTGGGGTGGAGATTAAACCCAGAGTCATGAGCATACAACTATTGAGTCACAGCTCCAGACCCTTTCGTGCTGAGGACTCTAAAAACTCAGGAGGCTGTAAGCATAAGGCTCTAGGTTCCACCTAACTAGTGTCCCCAGATAGAAAATGAACTGTGGGGAAATATGGAAGGAGGTTGGACTCTTTCACAAATCAGCTGTGCAGCCTGATGACAGGTTTTATCCTCCAAGTCTTAAATCCATACCTGGTCTTCCTCCACCTTCCACTCCCACAACATTTGTGGAGAGACAGCTCTGAGGTTAGGAGCATTGGCTGCTCTTCCAAAGGACGCGGGTTTGGTTCCCAGCACCCACATGATGGCTCATAACTGTCCATAACTAGTTCCAGGGATCTAATGCCCTCTTCTGGCCTCCACGGGCACCAGGCATGCGTGTGATGCACAAACACACATGCAGGCACACTCCAGACACATAATAACTAGACAAATAAATCTTTGAGGACTTTGCTGCTGAGCACATGTGGGTTAATCCCCCCCCCCCGTTCTACACTTCTTACTGACTTGGTTTCCCCTTATCAGAGCTGCAGGTGGTCCTGATGTCATTAAGAGTGAAGAAGAGGTTGAGAGTTTTTGGCTATCTGCACTCAATGGGGGATGTGAAGGATTCATTGCATGTAAGAACGAAAATACCTCTATTCTTTATATGGGGTTTTCCGAGGGAGGCTGAGAACCACCGAATTGAAATAAAGATTAAGGTTAATGTGTACGTTCAGGGTAGGATAGGGTCTGGGATTCAGTCGTGTTTGGATTTTGAATTAAGTTCATGTTTAGAGTAGGGTCAAAGTTGGGGCTGGGGAACTATCTTTAGGCTCGTGTTCAGGTTAGGTCTAACATCAGTACTTGACTTAGGTTTAGGCTAACGCTTTGCTGAGATGAATGCAGAAATACTACACAAGGGCTTCTAGGTCTAAGTGGGAACAGTGGGATTAGGAGGCTGCCAGACCACCGTTTGTCTCAAGAAACACGTATCATACCTGGGTACTAAGACGCTAGTGTGGAGCTTCCTGCTGAGCCTGTGGAGTAAAGAGCTTTGCTTTGTTTTTTTTTGTTATTGCTGTTTAAAACAGGGGCTTATGAATCTCCAGATGGCCTCAAATGTACCATGTGACTGGGGACAACCTCATTCTCCTTGTCTCCATTTCCCAAGTGCTGGGATCTCAGATATGCCTGCCTGCAGAGATTTCATAATGCCCTCAACTCTATGGAGGGTAAGCATGTAGGAATTTGGGTTTGTTCCTTATCTCTTCTATGAGGCCTAAATTTTTGGTGAAAACTAGCTGTCTTGGGAAACCAGTGCATGCTGGGAACTCTCCTATGGAGTCACCCCCTCCCCACACACATACAAGGAAACACACCTGGAGGAAGGCATCTCCCCAGCCAGGAGTAGTAAGATGACTTTGGCCACAGGAAGGTGCTGGACCTGGGTTCCAGGACACCATCCCGACCTTCCCTTTGTTGTTCTCTGTGTGGAACTGCAGACAAATCCTCTCCCTGCCTTAATTTCCCCATCTGAAAATGATAGGAAAGAGCCTTACCTCAAGCCCTCTATCCATCCTCAGTTCAATTTGTTCATCTCAACAGCTCTCCAAGTGGTCGTGAAGGGAGATGCTGGGTCAACTCAAAATATTTTTATTATTCTTTGTTTCCAGAAGGAAGGCTGGCACAGAGCTTGACTGGCGCAGCACCCATCTGCCCATGTCAGAGCATCCAGGAGGGATGGTAGTGTCAAAGGCAGATGCAACTGAGAGGGAGCTATGCTTCACCAGCTTGTCATTGTGTCATTAGGGTGTTCCTGTGGGAACTGAGAGCAGAGCCAGGAGGCAGGAGGTGTGGGAGGGAGTGGGGAGGCAGGAGGAAGGAAGGGAGAGAAATGGAAGAGATGAAGGGGTCCATGCCAGTACCGCATTCATCCCTGTCAGGAGGAGAGCTCTATCAAACCAAGGCCAGGCCTATAAATCAGGCCATAATTAGTTGCAAAGAGAAAGCTTTAACATCCTCATCAAATTGATTAATACATCTTTCAGCTCAGGACAGGCTGGCCCTGCCTTGCAAGCTCACCCAGCTAGAGGGAACAGAGTTGGGAGAAGGGTCAGTCCTAGCTGGGGAGGCACAGAGCCAGCTGAGATCTGTCCTTCTGTTTACCCACTGGAAGAAAGCTCTAACAGGAGGTAGGTGTGGCAAGCTCTTAGTCCAGGATCTGGAGTCTGGAGAATCAAATAAATACATTGGCCCTGATAGAACTAGTAAGTTATTTTCCTAGCCTGTCTCTCAGTTTCCTCATCTGAAAAAGGGACACATTCATTGAACATTAAGAAGACTCTTAAGGGTCCTACTACTTATGACATCATAGAATATATGGGCATAGTGAACACATATTTGTTGGGGGGAGTCATGGCCAAGACACTACATATACACAGATTCAATTTCTGGGACATCTAAGAGAAGATGAAGATTAGTGTCAGCTAAATGGTTAGTTCTTGCTTTCAGCTTGGGATAACTAATCATTGCCTGTGTCCTTTTCTGAGATCCAAGCAACAGACCCCCTCCATCAAGGCAACACAGAGAGTATAGGTGGCAGGCTGACTGGAGTTCACATCCTGGCTCATCCAGCTGTGCATTTGGGAAGTTTCCCTAAAGGCCTCAGCTTCCTTCTTTGCCAGACAGGCATAATAATGTCTGCTTTAGTGTGTCAGTGTGAGCACTAGGTTACCTAAGATATACACAAAATGCACAGCTCAGAGCCTGGCACATAGTAGGGGGTCAGCCAGAAATAATCAGAATTGTTATTGTGCACATGGATCTTAATGTCATAATAATGACATCTGAATCACAAGGACATTGAAAGAGCCAAGCCCAGAAAGCAAGTGATGCCCCGATAGCCGAGGGGATTCCAATTAGTCTCCCAGAATGTGAGTCCAACAGGCAGCATGTGCTCTGCAAACAGCACTGGGCTTGAACTTGAAAGATGGGTTTAAATCTCACCTTCACAGTTTAATGAACTATATGACTTTGTCCAAAATTCTCCATCTCTCTGAGACTTTGTTTCCCTAATGAGGGACACTTTCAACATCCAGCTAGGTAATATGTACAAATGGTTCTTTGCAAATCTAAGACATTGTTTAAGTACAAAGCATTTTCTGAGCCATTGCACAAACACCTGCTGCTGACCACCCCTGAAGCACCTTGTTGAGAAAAAACAAACAAAATAGGCTCTTTTAAAGGTAGGCTCCATTGTTTGAAGAGATCATGTGTCTTTTTGTCCTCTATGGGCTGAATCTTCCTGATTCCTGTTTTATTGTTTTATTTTTGAATGTGTATGAGTGTTTTGCATGCATGTGCGTCTGTGTCCCACATGTTTATTGGGTTCTCACAGAGGCCAGAAGAAGGTGTGAGATCCCCTGGAACCGGAATCACAGACAATGGTGAGCTGCTGTATAGGTAGGTGTTGGGAAACACACCAGGATCCTCTGCAAGATCAGACAGTGCTCTTAACTGCTGAGCCATCTCTCCAGGCCTTCACTTATTAACCACTTAGTATAAATGAAGGTTTTCTACATGGTGATGTTTGGGTCATAGATATAGATTTTTGTAATGACGTTGTCCAAAACTCCACTCTTGCTTTCTTCTTTGCTGTTAGGGGTGGTGACGTGAGAAAGATTTTCATAACAAATTTTGTAAGCAGAAATGATGTGGCCCTTAAGGAATGAGAATGTCTTGTTAATACTTTTTGTTTTTCTAGAGACCCAGATGATCTGTCTAGGACTTTCAGACAAAGGTCTCACTCTTGAGAATGATGGGAAAGAAAGGCAAGGAACACCGGCCCTTGGATGACAGTATGGAGGAGAGCCCTCAGCCTGCCTGGAATGCAGAGGTTGTTTGGTGAGAAAATACTTAGCTTCCATCTTATTGAGCCATTGAGTGTTAGGATATCTTTTGTTTTGTTTCGAGACAGGGTTTCTCTGTATAGCCCTGGCTCTCCTGGAACTTGATTTGTAGAGCAGGCTGTCCTTGAACTCATAGAGATCCACGTGCTTCTGCCTCCCAAGTGCTGGGATTAAAGGCACGCACCACCACCACCGCCCAGCTGAGTGTTAGGCTATCTTTATTAGAAGGTTCATCTGTTTATTTAGTGGGGATTAGTAAGGACATTTTAATAGAAGCATGAGCTCCAGGGTTAGGAGAAAGAAAGGCACTCATACAGAAGGACAAGGCAGGTCAGAGCATGAGTGTGTGGGTGTTGACTTCCCAAAGAAGAGTCACAGAAAATAAGACATGCCAAGTGTGGGCCCAGACTCCTCAGGGAGAGTCACTTAGAGGGGTTTAATCTACCATTCTAACTGATTACTTATTTGTAGTGTACGCCCCTCAAAAGGCCAGAAGTTTTTTGGACTAATCTTTCTATTTCTAGGCCAGCTGCAATCCACATCAAATGTTAAAGATATTCTCTATTTTTGATTACTTATTTTTTAATTTAATTTTATTGTGTCTTGAGAACAAGTCTCCCCCTAGAGCCGATGCTGGCCTGGAACTCATGTATAGCCCCATGCTAACCTCTAACCTGTGGCAATCTCCCTGCCTCAGCCTCCCTAGTGCTGAGGTTACAGATATGAGACACAGCATTCGATGACACTATTTCGAAAACAAACAAACAAACAAACAAAGATATTAACAGTTCCAGGTACTTGTTTTGGACTTAAGGCTGGCCTTGCAATGATCTTAGAATCATCGTCTCATAGTAATTTTATTAAGAAATTCCCCACACATATTCAGACTTATCTCCTCAAATGAATGTTTCATTTTCTTCTGCCTTGTGCCATCACAGCATATGAAACCTTATTCCAGCCCTACAGAAGGTCGAGGGGAGAAAGAATGAGGCAAAAATAAAAAGAACTGCATCTAGAGGGACCCACAGATTTTCAACTCTGACCCTGGGCTGGAGGAAGTGCTAGGGAAGTCTCAGGGATGACAGGCCTGGAGAAATGAAACCTGGATGCCCAAATGACTTGTCATGAGCTCCAGGAAGAGGAGGAGTCGTTCAAGGATGGACTCTGCTTCCTCCGGCTTCTGCTTCCCAGGAAAGATGACATCTGAGGGTGACCCATTAGCTTCCCTGTCAGTTCGCTATCACGTGTCACAGAGCCTACTGCCTTTAAGAAGCGCAGTCCTGCCGGGGTCAGCCTCTCCCTGGAATGCGGTCCTGCAAAGACTCAGAATTGCACTTCAGAATGTTTAGCTGAGCAGATGGTTTGGAATGTGAAGACCGAAAGTTGAAAAGCCAAGAGCTATGGGAATCTAGCAGCCATGGGATTGGGGGTGGGGAGGGAACGAAACAGGGACATTCTGCCAAGTGGCCATAGGTGGGGAGCCAGAGTGGAGAGGAGGGGAGGCTTCACTTTGTCATATCACTGGCCGGGATCTTGGGCCAGGGCTGGGAGAGAGCACCAGTTGCAGATGCTCCCATCTCATCTTACAGCTCACCAAATATTACAGACTCGCACATAAAAACCAGAGCACTAAGCTGCCAGGAGTGTTAAACTCAAGGAGCTGTGACCAGAAACAGGCGGGTTCTGGGGATGGGCTGGGGAGGCTGCAGCAGGGCCAGCAGCTCCCACTAGACCCTCCTGGCTTTGAGAAGGTGCCCGAGACCGAGCAGCAAACAGTTGCCTGAACTCACCTCCGCCTTTTGCCTCTCCATAGCAAGAGCATTTAAAGGAGTCCTGCAACTCCTTCCCAGGAGCCAGGCTGCCTCTGAGCTGGAAATAAATGCCTTCAAGCCACATAAATCAATGAAAATTAGTAGGAGTCAAAGTAAAGACCCATCCTTCACCACTTGGATGTTTGAGCCAAGGTTCTTCTCGGTGATTTAGAGCCGTATAATTGAGTGATCTGATCTCGCTTGCCTCCCCTCCACCCTCTTTCCAGACAAAATCCTCTCCTAGGAGGCTGGTTCCCACTGGCCTTTAGCTCCTCTGGCTGGAGCAGGTGTGCGCACCTGTCAGCTTGGCACCCTGATGGATCTCCCTGCTATCTTGGTTGGCCTCCTCCCTGCCTGCCCCTTAATGAATAGTCCGCCTCAGGCTAGGTATGAGTTGTGGGTGGGAGAGACTATTCTTCATTGATGCTTTCTCCTGTCCTTGCAGAAGTGGCAAGGTATGGCCGCTAAGGCCCTCCCGAAACATCATGTCATCCTGGAATGTGGGCTGAAGAGAACCTTTGACCTCTGAACTGGGGAGAAGATGGATAATGGCTCGAAGATCTCCCAGCTTCTCAACCTTTGTCAGTCTGAGAACACAATCTGGCAGCTGAGTGATGTGTGTTCGAGGCTGGACCCCAAGAATGTGGGGCTTGTATTCACGTCAACATACAACAACCCAAAGAAAACAAAAATAAAAGCAAAATCCAAAAACCAAACCAAAACCCTACACACAAGGAAAAGAAAAAAAAAAAAACCCAAAAAACTCATTGGGGTGTGGTGACATACGTCTTTAATCCCAGCACTTGGGAGGTAGAGGCAGGTGGATTTCTGTGAGTTTGAGAACCCCCTGGTCTACAGAGTGAGTTTTAAGCCAGAGCTACATAGTGAGTCTCTGTCCAAAGAAAGAGGACAAACAAACTCAAGTGCTGGGGGATATAGCTCAGTGGTAGAATGCTCACCCCGTGTGCTGGTTAATTTTATGTCAACTTGACACATGCTGGAGTTATCTGAAAGGAGGGAGCCTCAACTGAGAAAATGCCTCCGTAAGACCCAGCTGCAGGGAATTCTTTAAATTAGTGATTGATGAGGGAGGGCCTAGCTCATTGTGGGTGGGGCCATCCTTGGGTTGGTGGTCCTGGGTTCTATTACAAAGCAGGCTGAACAAGCCACGAGGAGCAAGTCAGTAAGCAGTACCCTCCATGTCCACTGTATCAGAGTCTGCCTACAGGTTCCTGCCCTGTTTGAGTACCTGTCCTGATTTCCTTTGATGATGAACAGTAACATGAGGTGTAAGTTAAATAAATCTTTTCCTCCCCAAGTTGCTTTGGTCATAGAGTTTCATCACAGTGACAGTAATCCTAACTAAGACACCTCGTATGAACAAGGCATTGGATTTGATTCCAAGTAATGTGTGCGCGTACACACACACACACACACACACACACACACACACACACACTCCTCTACATAGACACAAGGCCCAGAGGGACAATGTAGATAGGGAAACTAGAGTAGAATTTAGCGTCAGGGAGACACAGGTTCAAATCTCAACTTTTGTCTCTTACTGTTTATATGAACTTGAATAAATTTCTTCAGCTCTTTGAGCCTAAGTTTCCACTTTAATATTATTTGAAATTAAGGTAATGATACACTCTCACAGAGGTCTAGAGAAGATTAAATGACGTAATTGGTGTTACCTGTTATATGCTTCCTGGAACATAGCCTTTGCTTACAACACAACGCCTTCCTGCTTCTCCCAGTCTTGCTCCTGGCTGACTATCATACCTATAATAGACCCTATTACGTGTTTCTCAGTTACTAGCATAGAGCTCAGCCTGCTAAGGGCTCTGAGTGGCTGACAGAGAAGTTTCTAGAAGAAGAGGAGGAAGACAAGAAGAAAAAACGAAGAAGGGGGAGAAGGAGGAGGAAGGGACACAACCAGGTGGTGTAGTGCTTGGCACTGCAACCAGCTTCAAGTCCAGCCCCAGCCACTTACAGGCTCTGATCCTGGGAAATTCCTTGGGCCTTGTTATCCTTCAAAATAAGATGGTTATAATTATAATTATTGCCACAGGGTGGCTCTGAGATTCAAAGGAAACAGTGGGTGAGAAACCCGCTTTGCAAAGCACTGTATATTTATGAAGAAGTAGTAATTATTTTATGGGCAGAGCTCCTCTTAGGAAGGGAATTCTGCTTAGAAAAATGTGTGGATATGTGCTTGTCATGTGAACAGTGCCACTAACACTCAGAGCCGGGTAAATGTTGCTTGGTATGAGAAAGGAAGAGGAAAAGGGAGGGGAGAGGAAAAGAGAGGAGGGGGAGGGGAGAAGAGACAGAAAAGAGGAAACACGAGGAGACCACAGAAGGCCAGGAGTGGTGAGGAAGCCAGTGAATCCCTCTGCTTTTGGACTAACCTGTGGGTATTTTATGAATACCAGTGCCCACTGTGCCCCTTAAAGTTATGTTTTTCTTTATAACCGTTCTGGAGCTGGCGAGGTGGCTCAGTGGTTAAGAGCACTTGATGCTCATCTAGAGGACCTGGGTTCAATTGCCAGCACCCACATGGCAGCTCACAACTGTCTGTAACTCCAGTTCCAGGGAATCTGGTGCCCTTTCCTGACTTCCATGTAAGCATGTGATGCACAGACATACATGCAAGCCAACACATAAAATAAAAATAAGTCTTAGCGGGGCGGTGGTGGCGCACGCCTTTAATCCCAGTACTCCGGAGGCAGAGGCAGGCAGATCTCTGAGTTCAAGGCCAGCCTGGGCTACAGAGGGAGTTCCAGGACAGCCAAGACTACACAGAGAAACCCTGTTTTGAAATCCATGCCCCCTCAAAGTTCTTCTTCTCATACCTCTTCAACATCTTTTGGTCTACCCTCTTCCTCCCTGTGTCTATCTCATCCTTGGGTCTGTCTATCCAGCTCATTTTTGGAGACCATCAGCCCTATAACTTGGCAATTGACATACAGTCTTTCATTTATTCTCCTCATAACTTTTCACACCTAAAGATACAGTGGCTTGGAAAGCCTGGGTCATTTACTCAAGATTTCTAAGTCTCTGGTAGAGGAGGGGATTCGGTCAAGGCTAGCTCTAAACTCTGTATTGTGTTTCTCCATCTGGGCCTTAGTTTTTGAGATATGAAGGATCTCAGCCCTCTTTTAGTGGTGCCTCTATGATGTTTCTCTTTGATTTTGGTAGATGAGTGGTATTGTTATAAGATGCTTTAAGAACCCATAAACAAGCCCACTGCAGGATTGAGAAGCTATGACTACCACATGCTACATGGAAAAGGGCTGCTCAATCCTTCTCGCTCTAAGAAGGCAGAGAAGACCTTCCCTGTTTTGTTTATCCTATCTAGTGGATTAGTGCCAGCTCTAATCCACTCTGCTTTTCCTCAACAGGAACTGAGCACAAGGCCCACCGGTGAGATAGCTTGATGGAGGAGCATTTGCTGCTAACCCTGATGACTTGATTTCAATCTCTGGAGCCCACATGGTGCACAGAGAGTTAACTCTTGTAGTAGCTGAGCACACGTGCATTCCCCAGAACCATCTAACTCCAGGCTTGGAGAGGGTAGAAAGCTTGCTCCGTAAATCTGAGGACTAAGTTCAATCTCCAGCATCCACATAAAGATGTGGTGTGGAGCTGACAAGATGACTCAGGGGATAAATCCCCCTGACAGCCTGAGTTCAGTCCAGGTCCCACATGGTGGAAGCAGAGAATCAGTTCCTGCACGCTGTCCTCTGACCTCCACGTGTGTTCTGGGGCACACATGTATCTCCTGCAATAAATAAAAATGAATTAAAAATGCCAGGTGTGGTGGTGTGCACCTGTTAACCCACCCAGTGCAGGGGAAATGGAGATAGAAAGATCCCTGGAGGTTGCAGGCCAGTCAGTCTAGCTGAGTTTAGGACTTTGTCCTAAAACCAAACCAAAACGAAACAAAAAGCTGGAAAAGCACTAAAGGAAGACTGTTGATGTTGATCTCTGCCCACAGGCATATAGGTACGTAGATTCACAGATCATACACACAAGAGGCACTCACACAGACACACAGACAGACAGACAGACACATGCACATAGACACACATATACATACACAGATGGACATACACATAGACATATAGCACCATGATCATCCCAAAGGAATTCCTTCCTTTCACCCAACCCTCCAGCCCCTTCCAAAGCTAGGGACTAATGTACTATAAAATGTGCAATGGCTTTTCGGAATAACAGTTCTGTCCCTGACTTGCATATTTTCCAATTTCCTTGGTTTAAATACTCCTACCATTTCAGATTCCCAGGCTTTCTTCATTGAAAACAATTGGAGGGAGCTGTGAAGTAGCAGGAGTTAAGCTTTTCTCCTATACACACATCACAGACAGAAAGAACCCCCAAAGATCAAGAAGCAGCAATATGTCACATTTATTTTTAACTATGTGTATGTATATAGGTTCATGCGTATGAGTGAAGGTTCCTGAAAAGGCCACAGGACTTGTCACTCCTGGAGCTAGAGTTACAGGTGGTTGTGAGCCACCCGTCATGGGTGTTGGTAATCAAATTTGGGTCCTCTGGAATATGTACTTTTATTTGCTAAGCAATCTCCAGTCATGCAGTATTTATTTTTTCCCTTCCTTTTTTTTTAGATTTTTAAATTTTATTTTATGTGAAAGAGTGATTTGCCTGTATGTACGTATGTGTACCAAATGTGTGCCTAGTGCCTGAGGAAATCAGAAGAGGGCATCAGATTTTCTGACACTGGATCTCCTAGCCCTAGAGTAATAGACGGTTGTGAGCCACCATGTGAGTTCTGGGAATTGAACTTGTGTCCTCTGCAAGAGAAACAAATGTTCTTAATCACTGAGCTACTCTCCAGCCCATAGTATTTGTTTCCAAGTACAATTTACTTAATTTTAACTTTTCCCAGTTTTAGGTTTTTTTTTTTTTTTAAAACAACTGTTTCTGGAAAACTCTTGAGAATTTAACATTTGGTATCCACTGGTCAAAGTGTGACAGCTCCAGGCCACCCCTAGTGACCCACACTTACACACTCAGACAGACAGGCTGTAGCCTGGAAGTTAAGGCATGTGGAGGAAGGTGCCAAATGTCTCTTTGATATATTTTTTTGCTATTCCAGAAACAAGAATTGCACAAGATACAGTACACTGAACTGAAAATGGTTATTTATTTCAAAGATTCCTAAACTGGAAATGCTCATGGAGACCAGTTCCCTAACCAGAAACAAGAGCCCATTTGGGGTTGCTTTTCAGGATGTGGCATTAGCCAGGAGCATGTTGGGAAATGGATGGCAGACTTGAACAAAGTTTGAGAAGAGTTTTTTTTTTTTTTTTTTTTTTTTTTTTTTTTTTGAGACAGGGTTTTACTGTGTGGTTCTTGACTGGCCTGGAACTAGCTTTGCAAATGAGGCTGGCCTTGACCTTCCCAGAGATACATCTGCGTCTGCCTCCAGAGTGCTGGAATCAAGGCGTGCGCCACCATGCCTGGCTGAGAAGAGTTTAATAAAGTCATATTTACAAAACTACAGGCAGGGATTCAGAGAAATCCCTAGGGAAGGAGAAGTCACTCAGAGTGGGAACCATTACCATTCCAGGCCTGAGGGGAAGCAAAAGCCACCAGGGAAGAGGGCTGCTCCCCAGGGGCTGTGGCCTTTAGTCTAGGAACACAGGCTTTGTCAGGCCTAACAGGGCAGAAATCTGGGACATAAAGATCTGGTACTGTGGTCCCTGTGTCCTTAGTGTCTACTAGGG